GTTTAGACCAAAAAACGCAGTTTGAGTTGTGACATTTAGCAATGCAAAACGTCACGCTTGCATTGCTTAATGTCACAACTCAGTTTGCGTTTTTTGGTCTAAACATGTTTCGGCATCGTCATTCGCCGAGCTGCCTCTATAAGTGGCGGTGATTGTCTCTCCGAGTGTTGTGCGTGAAAGTAGACGCACAGACTCTTTTTAAAGTGTAAAGTGAAACAAAGTACACTCTAAAGATTGGCTCTCCGAGTGATGCGCGTAAAAATAGACGCACAGACTTTTTTTAGAGTCATGGCGCTACATTTTGGGCGCACCTTCTATTCGTAACAAAATGGTGAAGAAAAATAATAACCTGCCATTTTCCTCGCTTACTCCTGCAAAATCAGGGCAAGCCTGGTCAGTGGCGTGACTAAAGATATTTCGAAGCCTAATTAACTTTGAGGCACCATTTATTGCGAGAGTAGAAGCGTTTATGTGTAATTAAAGGCGGGAGAAAAAAAAAGATTACTAAATCCAAGCCTTTTTTGCTACTCTCATGCATAAACATATGGTCGCTTAAGAAAAGCAATTGTTAACACAAGATACACGATTTTCTTATGTACTTTTTAGTTTAATTTCCAGGATAAGGAGAAGGTAACAAAGCATGTTTTGTCCTTCGCTGCCCATTAAATATAAAAACAGCTATAAACAAAAAAGGAATAAAAAAAACGGGGAAAGATGTGTTTCAGCACTTCGCATAAAATTAATCATTACAGCGTTTTGCGAAATAAGCAACACAAAGAAAAGCAAAACAAAGAACGTAGGTCGCCATAATAATTTTTGCATGTTCGCTTTTCCAAATAACTCGCGTGGCCTGCGCCTTTTTTTTTTTTTTTTTTTTTTTTTGCTTTTTCGGGCATTCTGCGAGTGCTTTGGAGTTCCCACTTTGTTTAAACTCGCGGAAAAGTTCCGGTGGCGCGGTGCGCGACGCGTTTAAAACGGACCAATTTGTTTTTAGATAATTGGCTTCGTAAGTACGTTCAAAGACCTGAAAATGTGCTTCGTGTGTTGTCGGTAATTTTTTTTCCCTGTGAGACTCAAAAAATGTGTTCGGACATTACATGCTGAATCTAAGGTAATTTCGGCTGACGCAACCAGACTTGCAGAGTTTCGCGGATTAGGAAACTCTCAGGGGAACAAGAACTCCGTTCTCTCGTGTTGTGACTAAAGCTGCCTCTGCAAAAACATTGTTTGTTTCTTTTGCTTGTTTTTTTTTTACAATTCAGCGTTAACTAGCTTGCAAACTTGTCCCGGTGATCAAAATGAAAAACAAAACAAAAAAAAAGCAATTTAACAGTGTTGTATCACCTTTTTGTACTTCGCAGCTCTCTCTACAAAGAGAGAGAGAGAGAGAGATGGGAGTTGCATAGGAATAAAGTTTCAAATGTGCTCATTTTATTAAGCGCGTACGAGTTAAAAGAAATCACATAAAAGGGTGCTAAAAAACCGCACGATGTAGTTTTTATTTTAGTTTTTTTTTTGCGTGCTCTTATTATTTTTTGTGACGTGTGGGAGGATGGCTTCGCACAAGCCACGTGTTGGCTTTTATTCATCCGCAATACCAAACTTTTATTTGCTGGTAGCAATAAACGATTATTATTATTATTATCGGGAACTTTGTTTGACGCATACAGTATAGACCAACTCAAGCCTCTTACAACACCCTACTGCAGCGGCACCACTGTTGGCACCGCGTATGCGCATACGAATCATTTTATGCGAATTCGGTTTCTGCGCACGCAGTCTAAAAAAGTCTGTGCGTCTACTTTCACGCACACCACTCGGAGAGCCAATCAGCGCAACTTACGGAGGCAGCTCAGCGAATGACGATGCCGAAACATCTGTTTAGACCCAAAAACGCAGTCTGAGTTGTGACATTAAGCAATGCAAAACGTCACGCTTGCATTGCTTAATGTCACAACTCAGACTGCGTTGTTTGGTCTACACATATGTTTCGGCATCGTCATTCGCCGAGCTGCCTCCGTAAGTTGCGCTGATTGGCTCTCCGAGTGGTGTGCGTGAAAGTAGACGTACAGACTTCTTTTAGAGTGTACCTCCCGCGGGCCTGATCGAGCAAATTATCCATCTCCAAATAGATAATGTAACGCCCGCAAGGGCCTTCAAGGTTTAATAAACAATATTACAGCCGTTCTCTTTTTTTTTTCTTTTGTTGCGTTCGGAAGAAAGTACTTGAAATTAGAGTCACTGCAGTCACCCGAAATATTAAAAAACGCCGGGCGTGCCGAGTCCCACAGCCAATCAGATTGCGGCATTAGCCGATAAGAAAGCCAGAGAACAAATCACGAAGTAAGTGCGTGATTATCATAATAGGCCACGCCCTGGTTTCCTTAGGCTCTAAGTTACTCTACATTAGCTACGCTACAGAGCAGAGTCAAAACACTTCGGCCGTCATGATGCCTAAAATCACTGTTGCCAGATAGCTTGAGTGTAATCTGAAAATGGCAGTCAACGGGTTTTTGTCCTCCAGAAATGTTAAAACGGTCCGCGACAGGGCAAACCAGTATCGCCTGAGGTTTTCTCGACTCCGCATCGAAAAGTTAGGAAATCGCATTTGCGAACCGTAACGACCGTCAATGGCGCCCGCTCCGCACGAGGCACCCAAAGTGGAGGCGCCCACAAGAAAATCGGGAAATGGCGTGCCGATAAGGGTACGTTAGTTGCTGGCAATAGATACGATAGGAAATAAGCATTAGCCTAAAAAATATATATTTTTTTTTTCACTGAAACTTGCGCATGTACATAACGTTCTGATTTCTCTCCCGCGCATACACGAAATGTTTGGAGCACCAATTAGCCAAAATTAACAGAAGATAAGACCTAAACTCGTTCAAGCGATGTATTAGACGCTTCTGTGGGATTGTTATATTTAATTAGAGCAGCTTTAATTACCTTTATTTTATCGCCTTTATAACTCTCTGCGTATTTCTATATGCCGCTGACTCGTATTCATGCAAAAGTTCCGAACATCTCGGAGCATAATTTGGAGAACTCAAATCCCGGCCGAAATGCCCGCAATCTGACGAAGGCTCGTTGCAACGTGAGCGTTCCAGAACTAAGATTTAGATAAAATTGAATTATCAGCGCGGTCTACATTTACGGACAGTAACTCGCTCGTACGTCCCAAAATGTTATTCGTTCAAGGGGAAGTGAAAAAAAAAATTGCATCCCTTTCTTTTTTCTTTCACTTTTTCATTTCTTACTTTGTCTCTCTCTCTTCTTTTTACGAATTGACATACGCACGCAAATGAAAAACTTTTCGCTTTCCTCCTAACTATCTTCATATTTCCCACCGTAAATAAGTACACTCAACAGCGCATCTCAACATTGAATTGTGATACAGCGCAGCGCAGCATTAAACGTACCGATCAGTCAATCATAAACAATCTTATCAGCTGCGGTTCGCGGCAGTCCTGAAACTTATTTTCGTAACGAAGTTCCACCGTGCTTCGCCTTAAGTACTCGCCAGCTCCGGCCATTCGTGAACCAGCTCTTTCGTTATCTCAAGCCGCGTTATGGCCGAGTACAACTAGAGCGGCAGACAGAAACAATTAACCGACACCGACAAGCTCCAAGCACGTGCGACATGCACGCGAAGGTATACCCTTGCCACGCATCGCACTCTCTTGGTGCTCATGAAGTAAGCACGAGCGATTGCGAAGATTGCATAAATATATATTCGCGTGCTTTTTGAAAGTGTTTGCCGAATGTCGGTGTCGGTTGTTTCTGTTTTGCTGGTCTAGAGGGACTCGGCCGTTAACAAAAAGCGGTTTGGAGTTTCTCCAAAATCGACGCATAAACAAGCAACTTTCTTCAGTCCCCGAGTCTTCGGAGACACGCCCCGAGAAAAAGTGCAAGTTCACTTTACTGCAAAACACAAAGAAAACCAATCGCTACAAAGGAAAGAATGATCCTGGCGAATGTCGAAGCCGAAAATACGATTAGTCGAGAAGACTGCGAAGTGCGCAGATGACATTTCAATTGCTCGTTGTCCCTGAACACGCCGCATATTTTTGGTATCCTCAAAGTTTAAGCTTCGCTGGAACACTTACATTATTCGCCGTCAATGCCTACCTCCACGTTTTAGAGGAAACAAAAGAAAACTCACAATCTTTTTCCTTTTTTTATTACGCGTGCATGCTTGTTGAAGCGGATCAGTGGTAGGTAATTCGTCAGCAGTGTTGCGACAATCGCTGGCATTACCCGGAAAGAAATCGACCTCATCGCGAAGCAACTGATTTCATTTCTCACTGCAAAATTCGGAGCTGGACCAGTTGTCTTGCAGATTTTGTCCAGTACAGTTTAAAAACCGCAGAACGTAGTGTGTTCGGTTATTAATGCGAAAACATTAACTGTCCCATGGTGCGAGCCGACGTCATCAGCTTTAAAGCCGCGCCAAACAGCACTTTAAATCCTTTCTCCAAGTGAGGCCAGCTCCCAGCTATGGAACCACGCGAAAAACGTAGCCAAACGGCACCTAGTTCCCCCAATCCCAAAGAAGCGGAGTAAAGCTGATGGATATCAGCTTCGGTCCCATTAACTGGAGCGCGTCAACGAGGCTCTTATTGCCGCTACGCGTCAGTTTCAACGGCCGCCACCCCATGGCGCTGCGTGTCCGTCAGCGCGCCGCTAACACGAAACGTCCAAGGTCAGAGCGGCGAGGAGAGGGCGCGCTCTGCCGTTGACGCAAATACGCTGCAGACGAAATAAGGAAGCGGAAGAATGACGTGCATGCTTTCGCATTCACAACTCATAAGAAGTGCTTAGGTGTACCTCGAACTTTTTTATTATCACTCTGCCGCCGGAATTAGTCGACGAGAACGCCAAAGAACGAAGGACGGAGCAAGCTTATGAGTGAACATATCACGCCTATACATTCCTTAAGCTTTCAGTGTCTATGCACACGGACGCCAGCGCAAAAACCACCGATAAAACAAAAGTCTCACCTTGTTTTCGTCGAATACTCGGAATATCAGGGAGGTGAACTTAGATGGATCTCCCTGCGGGAAGAAGAGCTTGTATATCCTCAGGAACCCCTGCATGAAGTACGCGGAACCCACGGTCAAAATCTACGCAGCTCGTTTTCAAAAGCGGCACGCAGTATACGCCGCGTTCGCGCTAGCGGTTAAACTAATTCACAAAGTTGTTGTAACGCGCTCGCCTAAAGATGCAGGAGAATTTCTCGCGCATTTCACGGTAAAAACGCGCGAATTCGCCTCGCGGTTGCAATCCGAATGCCAGGGTGAATGTAACTTTAATGCAAACACGTTGTCGCAGCTTTTTTTTTTTTTTCCGGAAACAAAAGACTTGAGTCAAAAGTTCGCACGGCGAAATAAGCTCAGCTGGGGCTACCATTTTGAATTTCTGTACAATTTGATATCATTTCTTAAATTTTGTATGAGTACGATGCAAAACACAAAAGGCGACGATGGCGTTTCCGCGCTAACTTTATGTTTTAAACAACACGGAAATTGCTGACTTAATATATTAGCTAAACGCGAAGGTTCCGGAAATAAAGTGTATAAAGAGGTGTCGTGTTAAAACGTAAGCCTGCACTTTTTTTTATTCGCTCTTTCTAGCGTGAGTTGAAACATGGTAATGCCAGTGTGCAAATAGCCCCTAAGCACTTCCGTTACTTAACTAGACTGCGGGTTTCGCAGTATTTGAAAAATAAAATATACACGATATCTTCTGGAAATGGCCAGGTATAGCTCTGTCAGAGTTAATTCACTTTTATGATAAAAGAATGCCTAGTAAATATTAGGATATATACGTAAACCGGAAGTGTGTTGTGGCTACTCAATAGATAGCGCCACTGAGTTTGTTGCCAAACAAAAATGGGCGAATATAAGTAATTAGATGGCGTAATTTTTCTGCGCTATACAGCGACGAAGGAGTGCGTAATGGGCTTCGAAGCTCGCACGCTTTGCTTCGGATCTCTATGCATTCCCGAACCATAGACACTGCATGAGCGCACGTCTTCACGACTGCTGGTTCAGCGATTGTAGTGTTCAAAACCGACGAGCTCGGTAAAACAGACTAAAATGAATTTAGAAATAAAAAAGGAACAAATAATTGAAACTCTGGCGCAACGAAATGGTTACTGCTCCTGTTCGGTCAGATATATATGTATTGCCCACTCTTGCAACAACGCTGCGAAACCGCGAGTTGAAATACAACATGATCCTCCAATATCTAGAATGTGGCGTCACGTTCTTTCGTGCCCCTTTGTTCCTAAGCGATCTTGAGTTACGGGCTGTCAAAAAAATCTCACGAGTTTCGTCGCCAACATGCAAAATCCTACGAAAGCCACCCAAGGCGCATCGATATCAGAATAGTTTTGCGCGTCTCATCGCTACAGCGAGCCACAAAAAAAAAAAAAAAAAAAAGTGTAAATAGTTTTTATCCGCCCGGTGTAAGGATGGTAAAAAAAGGCCATCGGTCACAGCTACGAACTATTTTCGAAACGCCCTGGTAAACGCTAGGCCTGGCGAAACAAGAAATATCTTTGGGAGTAAATCTGACTCGCGATCCATCTTAACTCAGCAGCGCACATTGCGCAGCACTGCCGGAAATGCGGCTTTCAAAAGTGTAGGCGTGCGTAGGCTCTTTACTTCCTCCCACGCGCCATACTATAAATGTGTACGAGTTTCAAGACAACGTTTGCGCCGCAAACGAAGGTCTGGCACGCCATGTTCGCGTTCATTCTGCGAAACTACGCCGTCGCCTCGTCTAACGCTGCACACTATGCACTCGAAAGAGAACCTCTCACAATCCTTATGCTGCATTCACCCTGACGACTCAACCGCATCTGCGAAGCAGTTGCGAACGCGTTTGCTTAAAGATGCAATACCAATTCACGCGCCGTTGTTGATGAAAACGAACGGATCCGCCCTGGCGGTTCCGATAAGAACTCCAGTGTGAATGCAGCCTTAGAGTGGCACTATCACTGCCAAGCCTAAGAAAGCCAGGGCGTGGGGAGCCCGGAGTACGTCATCATCGCTTCGCAGCCGATGAGATCTCTCCGTCGGCCAACAGAAACGCCGAAGAACCAATCACGAAAGTGTCAGCAACTGTCGCCATTGTTTTGCTCTGAAACTATGGACGAACACGCTGTTTACAAAGACTGCGGGTGCCCGCACCAGGTGGAGGCACTGCGCGTGCGCTGAAACCAGATTTGAGTGAGAAAAAGCTTCAGCGCATGCGCAGTATGGTAGCAGCGCCACTGCAGCAACGTCTACTTTCCCCCAAAGCACTTCGCGGAGCCAATGACTGCAATGTGCGGAAGGAATTTGGCGAATGACGGCGCTAATAATGTGCATAGACTTAAAACACACGCACACACACACGCACACGCACACACACACGCACACACACACGCATTCTGCGCTGTGGATCTGTTTTTGGCTCTTCAGCATGTTCCGTGCCACCGCGCAGTCTGCCTTCTTTTTAACGTCTGGATATCGTTTCAGTTTACGCAGATTGCGGTGATTAAGTCTCCCAAAGTAAGTGCAAAGAGAAGGAAAGTAGACGCGCCCTATTTCTTCAGGCTGGTTCACGCGCATGTGTCTGCTTACGACCGCGTGCCCCAAAATATCTTAAACTTTCTTACGACGAGAGAACACACTGATGCCTTCTACCGGGAGTAGCCGTAGAATATTTTCAGTTTCGGTTTAGTTACTAGTTTTCACGTGCATCATTATTTTCTTTGTTCCTTCGCTAAAGCTTTCGACAATGTTAAAAACGACCGTTTTCTCGTAGATAATGTACGTAGTACATGTACATTTGATCTCTCGAATACCACAAAACCTTCGCTACGTTAAAATACAGTTCCAGGATCAGCGCATAGATGGCGCCAGTCTGCTAGGCTGCTCTGTCTTCGTTCGAGCTCGTAAAAATTCGGTCCTAAGCAAACGCAAGTGTGTCAACGAGCCTTTAGAGTATAGTCGCTAACGGTTGAAGAAACCTAGGGCGATGTTTGTTATGTGCCCGCTTCTTGCTGTGTGATTTATTCTTCGCCATTCTTATCGGGTAATGACGTCATCTAACTGTCTGCAGAGCATTACACTTTAAGCCCTTGCGAGAAAAAAAAAATCTAATTTAGAAACTATAGTTTTTTAACAATTCCAAGTGTAAAAGAATAGTAAGCCGGCGTCCCCAATGTCCGTGTCGTGGGTTTGGTGAGCGCATACGTTTCACTTGTTTTTATTTTAACTCCCCTTTCATCTGTTTTCATTCCCTGTGGGGTGAACGAACATATGTAAAAAAAGTCGTATTTGAGCAGAGGGTTTTACTAAACCTTAATGTTACGCAAATGCGTTATACCGTTGAATGCCATAAAGTAGTTCATGCGGCAAAATACTTAAAAGCTACCATAAAAAGTTAGAAAAGGACCCAAAGAAGGACGTCATTTGCTAGATATTTTGAAAACACACGCACACACACACATACACACACACACACTGTCTCTTTCACACACACACACACACACACACACACACACACACACTCGCACGGAGGCACGCACGCTCAAGAAAAAAGATAAGCTTTAAAAAAACCAAAACACTCCTATACCACGTAACCTTAGCCGGTGGCTTCTCTTTAAAATATTTCTGTTGATCCCGCGGAAAAGCCTATTGTAGTGCCTCGTAAGCAGTCGGAACGAATTTCAATAAACTCGTTGTTATTGCCTCCTTTCATGAATGCCTACGCCGGAAGAAACAAACAAATCATAGCTAAAGCCTCGCATTACCCGGGAAAATACCCCACCCCTCGCTGCTATATAAACCTTCCCCGACGCTGAGAGCACCAGACCCGCTATCCGGGAGTCGTTGATACTTCAGAGTTCAAAACACCCCAAACAAATCCATTTTGCAAAAAAAGAAAAAAATTATAGATACGATGCTGGCACTCGAAAGGGATGCGCGAACAGCGTAAGGACCCCGAGGCACGAGTAACGAGGACAGTACGAAAAAGCACGAAATAAAATGAAGAGTCCATGTGCATGAATGTGTGCGCGACCCCGAGGGCTCGATCGATCGGTCGCTCACCTGTTCCGTGAGGTGACCCGACGGGCAGTCCTTCACGAACCCTTTGTACCTGCGAGGCATTCACATTGTTATTGAGTTTCAAGAGGGGCAGTATCGAACTGCACGAAACTTTCCGCAGACCGCAGTCCTGGAAAAAGATGGCGATTAGACGTGCCGCGAAATCTTCTTCGAGACTGTTCGATTTAAATTTCGTTGTGTCATTTGTAGCTTTTATGAAGTGAAGAGGCGCTATTATGTAGGCCCATCTCGCACCGGAGAGGCTATTGAAATTAGCAGTATTTTATTTTGAAGACTTTTTGTTTTCGAACTACATTCAAGGATATATCAAAAGTAGTATAACCACTGGCAGCTAAGAAAAAAAAAGAAGGCTGTGTGCGAGTTCCAAACGTCTTATCATCCTCCAGCAACACTCCAAGACATGCCTGCGCGTCTACTTAGCCGCAAAACACTCGAAGAGCCAATCTCAGCGATCTACGAAATCAGCTCAGCGAATGATGAGGCGGAACATCCGTTTAGACCTAAAAACGAAGTCTGCACTGTGGCATTACGCAATGCACAGCGTCATGCTTGCACTGCATAATGCCATAGTGCAGACTTCACTTTGAGGTCTAAACGGGTGTTCCGCCTCATCGTTCACTGAGCTGATTTCGTAGATCGCTGAGATTGCCTCTTTGAGTGTTTTGCGGGTAAGTAGACGCGCAGGCATTTCTTAAAGTGAACCAATAAGATTTCTATATCAATCCTGGTTCACACGGTGCGATTTCGCTCGCGATGTCTTGGTTGCAACGGCAAACACCGCAGCTTTCAGTAATTTTTCTTTTTCTTTTCTTTTTCTTTTTTACACGAGCGACGTTCAAACTGCGATATCGCGAGCCAAGCCGCACACGGGAATAGGGGAAAAACAACAAACAACACAAAAGACGCAATCGCGAAGGAAGAAACGTGAAAATATTATGCCACGCTTTTGTGGTTCTTTTTCTTTTTTTTTTAATAAACACGTACATCAAAATCAGCATAATGCATTGCTTGGATGCTTAGCACTTGGCTAGTATACCCTCTAAAAATTGTCTGTAATTCTACTTTGCCGCACAACACTCGGAGAGCCAATCACCGCAACTTACGGAGGCAGCTCAGCGAATGACACTGCCGAAACAAATTTTTAAACCAAAAAACGCAGTCTGAGTTGTGACATTAAGCAATGCAAAACGTCACTCTTGCATTGCTTAAAGACCGACGATCAGTTCGCGCTTTCCACTTTTCTCCCGCTTCCTCCTCTCCCCCCTTCTACCCTGTCCACCGTTGCCTGCTTCCTCCTCCCACAGGGTGAGGAGGATCTTCTGCCTTGCAGAATCTTGAGTCTGGTCGTCGGCCTTTAATGCCACAACCCAGACTGCGTTTTTTGGTCTAAACATTTGTTTCGGCATCGTCACTCGCTGAGCTGTCTCCGTAAGTTGCGGAGATTGGCTTTTCGAGTGGTGTGCGAGAAAGTAGACGCACAGACTTTTTTTAGAGTGTAGGGATCCTTTCAATGGATACTCATAAAAATTTAAGAGCTGAATGACACGCACATTTCACATCACATCACGTCACATTTCCTAAACTCTTGGCGACTATTGTAATTTTTAACATTCGCGTCCAGTTACAGTTGTATAATTGAACCTACACCAACTAGTTATTTAAATTTAAAAGTGAAGCTTCAAAAATTATTAGGCGAAATATTTTTTTTTATTTAAAGCATTTGTTGCGTTACATGCAGATTTTGGGACGAACATATTATAAAAGCGCACACGTGAATCCGTACCACTAAAGTATTCAACCCTGACATTAGTAATCATCTCGCATATTCCGAAGTGTAACGGTCAAGACTATGCGCCCCTGTGAGTTCACAAAATTTGTGTTCAGGGGCAATAAAAAACAAAAACAAAAACTTACTCACCATTGCCTGATCTCCTTTTCAGTGACTGAAACGAGACAAAATGAAACGCAAGATCAGTCGATGCATTTCTTTTTCCCAAAGCTTCGGCTCTGCATGTTTAAGATGATGGGCTCAGTGAGTAAAGCAATTTTTAAGCCACGGTTACACTGTGCTAATTTCTTGCTTCTACGAAGGCCACGTTGTTCCTACAAAAACTGTCTGCAGCCATGTTTTAAACATACGTATGCATATGGAGCGTACATGCTCCGAACAAGCTTGACGCGTATCCGCAGACAATTCTGTCATCATATCTGCGGAGAAACTCCGCGTCCCTTGCCTGTTGCACGAGCAATGTGACTGAAGCTTAAAAGTATAGCAAACGAAATTGCACACATGACAAATGTAACTGTAACAATTCATCTTCACATATCGGTGCGTCAGAATTACGGCGACATTTTGACACGAATATTATACGCGCTATTTCCGAACAAGACCAGCCAGTCTACTTCTCTGCAGAACACAGATGTAACCAACCACCGCAAATCATCAAAAAACGACCTAAGTATTAGAAATCGGAGGTAATGTCCTCGCGCGGCACTGTCAACATGAGCTACCACAGGACGAGGAATGTAGCGCAGGCAAAAGCATAATAAACATTTCCGGAAAATCCCTGGAGACACTGCAACGAGGGGAATTGTGGGGCTGTTCGGATGTTCATTCGCGCCCGCTCGAAGGCTTCGTATATCCAGGTAGCGGCACGATTCGATCTTTCTTATCTTTAGGAGCTCAGAACACTCACTCACACAAAATAAAATAAAGCGAACGGAAAAGAAGGTTATCACACAATCCGTTTTCTTTTCCTTCCGTCTTCTCTGCCTTCTGAAATCACGAACTGTTAAACCAACGTCAACTTGGTCTTCGCTTGCTGAATAATTTCACGTGCCCTACATTTGAACTTCGCGATGCGTAAGGCAGACGCTGGGGGCACCGCATATTTCCGGAAAGGATTATTCCTGGACTTCGTCACTCGCAAAACTCCATCCTGTCATGTAGAAGAACCGTACAAAGGATCGTCGCGAAGGATCGTGACATCGCGTTACAGCGTGACATCATGTGACTTCGTGCGACGTCACAGACATGCACCCGTCGCGACGTCACATTACATTATTACGTCACGTAACACCATTACGGCGTGTCAAGTGGCCATTTTTATGGCGTAAATATTCTCACAATTTTTCCCCGACTGCTGTCGCGTGGAAGGAAAGAACCGACGCGCGTGTCGTAGGTTATAAACGTCGAGGATTCATTCTAAACAAGCGGTATTTAACGAAAGTACCCAGACCGTTGCGCAGCTCCTTTAAACGAGCGCCAAAATATAATACGACCATTTCTGGCCAGAACTGCGACGTGTAAAAGCCGGATGTTTGCCGGTCCCATTAAAGACGTCCGCGTCCCGGAAGCCGCCGCGGCTTTGCGTCTCTCGGGACGCTCATCGTCGCTAATGAGAGGGAATGGAGGCCTCCCAAGAAAAAAAAAAAAAATCTATAACGCGGCTAGAGGAGACAGAGACCAGGCGTGCGCGGCTTCTTCTGGCCCACTCCGGAGAGAGCGGAGTGTCGGGCGCAACTAAAACCTCGGGCACTTTGAGTTCTAAGCTGCGGTCCCACTGCTGATGCAACGTACAAAAGACTGTCTGCAAACGCTTTCTGAGGCGCGCTTCTTTCTTGTAGGACGTTCCTGGCACTTTGATCGTAAAACAGATTATTCCGCAGATTAGTAATGACGGAATGAAACAAATATAAGGCTAAGCTAAGGACAGCGCGACTTTTTACACCCTACGATAGAGTAGCAGCATCTGTACAGCCTTTTTGGATTCTAGGAAATGTCTCCTTGGAGCTGGCGTTGTACGGCAACGTCCGTATAACGAAGACGAGCTAACTGAATTTTAGTGAAGGTTCGTTGCCCCTTTAAAACGTGAAATGCTTTTTAACGCTACCCCGAATCCCAAGACTGCTGTTAGTCCGTCCGTCCGTCCGTCTGTTTCCCGCTAATTTTAGCGTGGAAGTTGATATCACGAGACCTATACACGAATTCGGTTTCCCCGCAAAATTTAGCGGAAAAATTGGCGTCACGTGACTTGTACTTCAATTAAGTTTTCCCGCTAATTTTGGCGGGAAAGTGGCGTCACGTGAGGTCACCTGACGTCCCGGGGCCTATACACCATGGGAAAATTGACGGCACGTGACATACCCGTCAACTCAGTTTCCCCGCTAAATTTGGCGGAAAATTGACGTCACGAGTCCTATATACCAATTCAGTTACCCGCTAAACTTAGCGGAAAAATTCGCGGCTTGTGACCTAGGCACCAATCCAGTTTCGCCGCTAAATTTAGCAGGGGAAATCGACGTCACGAATCCTATACACTAATTCAGTTACCCGATAAATTCAGATGGAAAATGTAGGTCACGTGAAACAACGATTCTCTCACCCATTCTTTACAATGCATTTTGTTCATGATAGGACTTTTAAGATAAAGATCGCTGCCAATTTTTTCCCTTTGGAAAGTCATACGTTGCTCCATATTTTGCCATCACAAGTTAGTTCAAAGCCCAGTAAAAGTGTAAAAAAAGTTTTTAAAAAATTGTAGTGTTTTTTTTTTTAATGTTGACGTATAATTTTGCCACATTTTAAGAAATCGGCTGCGTTTCTGAACGAATACCACAACTAATACAGTGTAGGCATGGCTTGTTATATATATATATATACATACTCGTAAAATGTAATTTTCTTAACTGTTGATATTAAAAGAGCCATAGACTGCGGTAAATTTGCTGGTGCTTTATTTATTGACCTTTCTAAAGCTTTTGATTCAATTAACCATAATATACTTTTTGCAAAACTAGACGCTATTGGTATAACTGGTCCCACACTAGCATTAATTAGCAACTATTTACAGGACAGACAACAGGTTGTCTATATTTCTGGTGCCTATTCCCACTTTAGAACTACTAATATTGGCGTCCCCCAGGGCTCCATTCTTGGACCTCTGCTGTTCTTAATATATATTAACGACCTTCCTCAGTGCATTAATTTTTCTGACTGTTTACTATACGCTGACGATACTACCATCTTTACTTCCGATAACAGCCTTGACTCATTGTTACTCAAAATTAACGCTGACGCTGCCAATGTTGCTGACTGGTGTCGGCGTAATATACTGAACATTAACGCTTCTCAATCTACTTTTGTCATTTTCACATCAACCAACAAAATCGTTCCAGGGCTTCCATCGGTTCACTTAAACTCTAATGTATTGACGGCTGCAAGCCACGTTGTATTTCTTGGGGTTGAATTAGACACTCATTTAAAATTCCACAGGCATATTAACTCCTTAACTAGAAAAGCAGCATTCGGCATAAGAGCATTAATCAAAGTACGCGCCTTTTTCCACATCGATACGCTCATTTCCCTCTACTACGCATTTATACATAGTCATCTTAACTATTGCATATCTTCGTGGGGAAATACTTATCGCACACATTTGTCTCCATTGCAGCACGTCCAAAATCAAGCATTTCGTATCATCACCTTTAGTCACTTTTCATCTGATATTTCTTGGTTTTTCCGTGCTTTTAATATTTTATCTGTTAGCAATTTAAATAAACATACCCTCGGGCTACTTGTGTATAATTTCGTGAACGGCAAACTCGCTCTAACACTTCTTAACGATAATCAGTTTCCACAGCATAAGATAACTTGATTCGCATTTCATCATAACTTGTTATTGCCTAAGCCTAGGACTAACTATGGTAAATTTACCACCAACTTCTCAGCCACGGCTGTGTGGAATTCATTACCTTTAGTCATCAAGCAATCACCATCAATTCACGTGTTTAAGAAGAAACTTCGCACATTTCTTCAGTCCTTTTAGTCATACATTGCTGTCATGACGTCATTGTGTATCTCTCTTTTTGATAATTGCCGTTTTGTCTCTCATATTATTGTAATTAGTACTGCATTTCACTTATTCTCAAAATTGATTTGCAATTCCAACTGTTATAACCTTGCTCTGTTTATTCAGTGTTATTTTATTTATAAGTTTATAATTATTATGAGTGTTTAACTTACTGTTATTTTGTTCATTTTATATCACTGCAATTAGTTCTGTGTTTCACTTATTCAAGTCATAATTTATTTTCTATTCTGACTGCTGTAAATTTGTTTTATTATTATTGCTACCATTAACAGGAGGTCCCTTTCCAGTCTCTGACTCTGGGACCTCCTTCTGTAATATTTCTAATGTATTTACCTTTGATCTACCCACAATAAAACCTGAAAACCTGAAAAAAAAAAAAAAGATGCTCATTTCGATATATTGCCGCGCGCGGAGCTGGCCAAGTAGGCAGCGCGCGCGTGGCCTAACGGTTATCGCGCTTTCTTTCCACGCTGAAAGCCAGGGTTCGATTCCTGGCCGCGGAGGCACATTTTTGTTGACTCTGTTCTGGTAAATTCGAGAACCATGTTGCTTGTTCGAGGTCAGAATGTTCTACACGCCGAACATTCTACGCCGATTATTCCAGAAGACCACGCATGTACATATAATTGGCTCCGCGTGGCTTTACGCGTGGCGAGCCACAGTCAGTCTCGCCCCAGCGTTTGACTCTGCTGCCACGCCGACTTCGACACCCGCGACGCTCTATTATTATCTTTTGTACTCTTTTATTTTTGGCACAAGTTCGCCACATTAAGCGTTTATTTCTTCCTGTTTATTTATTGTTTTTTAGTCACCACCCGTGACAATATCTTGTATCGTTTTTACATGAGGTAGTTTGTTCGAAAAATATTTGTGCATGTGTCTCTAGAACGTGTTTCCTTGACGTGTTTCGTAGCGTTTTCTTGGCTAGAAAAAATTTTTTTTTAATTTTTGACGTTTCGCGTATACGTTCAGAAACCTTTCATAAAACAAGTAGGGAAAATTATTACCATCGTGTACGCTTCGATGCGAAATCGACGGTTACTCAGAGTACCATAGTGAAACTTTGGCAAT